CTTTCATTAGTTTTAGCGGCTTTCCCTTCAAAAGCAAGTTTCAGGGTCTCTTCCCACTACCATCGAGTTGATTCTGACTCACAGAGACCCTATGAGGCAGAGTAGAACGCCCCATAGGGTTTCCAAGACTGTAATCTTTACTGAAGCATACTGCGTCATCTTTCTCCTGTGAAGTGGCTGGTGGATTCAAGCCACCAACATTTTATTTAGCAGCCAAATGTTTTAAGCACTGCACCAAGAGTGCTCCTTAACTGTGGATACAATAGGGAGCAAAAACCAAACACGTTTCCTGCTTGTAAGCACTGCTCCACAGGTATGACATGTTACTGTTTCATCACAGCCCACTTACCCAGTGGGCTAACATTTTCACCTGCAATGAACAACTTTTCTGAGCGGGTTTCACCCATTCAGGAGTAAGGGCTACCAATAAAGTCAAAGAATGTTTGTAAGAATTGTGCATGAAACAGGAAGGTGGACAGAAACACAAGAAAGATTTGGAAATGAAGGAGGGGAAAGGGAATCGTGAAAGAGAAGGCAAGACAGACAGCAAGCAGAGGCACAGAAAAGTTCTGTCCCTATTCTACCTCTCTATGTCAAATCACGTTACAATAATAACGTGTCTACCCACTCATTTAAAAGTGTGTAAAGTGTGACTTTATCTCCAAAAATGAGTACATATACCATGTAAATCAACAGAAGAGGTGCTGTTGTTGTTATGTGCCATTGAGTTGGACTCAACTCACAGCAATCCCTCCTTGGTTTCCGCGGTGGTGTCACTACGGAAGTGGATTGCCCAATCCTCCTTCTGAGGAGTGGCTGGTGGGTTTAAACCACCAGCCATCTGGTTAGCAGTTCAAATACCATAGGCAGGCAGTCATAGGGTGAAAGAAGTGGGTAACAGGGTGGGAAGAGCTTATAAAAATCAGTCCTTTAGGGATGCATCAGTGACTTTCTCCAGAGGAGGCTGAGAAGCATAGAGTTAAAGAAAGTCCTACAGCTCTGGTTTACAAGACGATTTTTTTACTAATGCATGTCTACTTAGACCACAGCCCGGGGCCCAGCTTCATAATGGCTGCTATCTCAGGCTTTCCTTTCTTTTTCTTTTTCCTGCTATTCTTGATGCTGCAACAGCTAAGGTACAACCTAAGCAGGGCTCAGATGCTTTCCCGATTAGCAGAAGGACGACAAGGTTGAAAAGGAATTGGGCTCATTTCACTGAAGGGACTGAATAATCCGTTGCATGCTTTTTCTCTGCCCTCGCTCTGCTGCCTTTACAAGAAGTCAGAACACATAAGGCAACAGCGCTGAGTCAGGGCAGGTTTGAGTAAAATATTGTGAGGTGTATGTTGTGAAAGACAGTAATAAAAAACATGACATTGCTGTATGAAGAATATGTAAGCTTTAACTAGAAATTTTTCTATATCATCTCAAAAGAAAAAATGACCTATACAACACTGACCCAAACTGGAGAATGTATCCTGGATGAATGACCAAATATTTCTGCCCAAATTGGGGAATTAAGATGCGGGCAAGAACTTTCTCAGACAGTGATCATGGTTGATATGAAACAGATGCCTGTCCAGAAACTAGAAAGACCCATGGAGTGTGAACTTGTTCAGATCATGTGGGAGACATCTGCTGGGAAGTTCCAGAAATACTTGGAGGAGAACTCTGCAGGTGGCTTTCCTCCCTGTAGATGTACACAGGAGCTATGGACCTTGGGCCAGCAGAATCAGGCTTTAGATGCAAATTTGCCTTCATTAGCAACCTCCTGTCCCCCCAAATAAAAGCAATAGGTAATGGCACTTCGGAAAAATACATAAAATCATAAAAAAAGAAACTAAATCATCCGTTATCTTATTATCAGAAATAACTAATATTTTAGCATAACTTGCTCAATGGTCTTTTTTCCAGGTATTTTTTTCTCCCATATCTACATTACCCTGGCTAATGTCTTTTTGTGAAGATGCAAATGACAAAGGTACATGAACATCACCTTCACTCCCTTACCCTGATTTATTCATAGCACTCATCAGTAGCTGCCATATTATATATTTGTTTATTGCCAATCTTTCCCATACAAGCTCCATAAAGACAGGAACTTTGTTTTTTTCACTACTGTATCATCAAGGCCTAGAATAAAGTCTGGCAAGTAGGAAAAAGTCATACTTGTTGAAAATACTGAAAAAAAGGTGGGGGGATGACAGAAACCTTTATTAAGAGTTCTTCAAACGGGTATCATAACATTTCTTTCTTTCTTTTTTCCTCATAAAATTTCTTAAAGAAAACAAACGATAGTGTTTGTTGCCAATGACAAAATTCAAGCTATCAAGCAACAGTTAAAAACTATTCTGATGAGATGGATGGTGATATCAACAAATATGATTTTAAAGATATTATACAATAAAATGTATCAAGATTTCAAAAACCTGCATACCTCAGTGACCAATATGATCAAGGCATGTTGTTATAATAAAATCATGCATAGCTAAAAGATTCATTCAACATGTAAGACAGACCACTGGATTTTAATGTTAACAGAGTATGAAAAATCTGTTCTAAGGTTTTATATTCCATACTGTAACTAACTTTGAAGAAAAAAAAACTGGTGAATTTCGGCACAGTAGCAAAGAGGTGTATCTAGAATTATCTGAAAAGGTTATTAAAATACTCCTGTCTGTTCTATGTATCTGTACGAAGCTAGAAATTTATTTTTCATTTAATATATTTTAACCAAAACAACATAGTGCCGTAGACTGAACGCATTAAGTAGCTATGAGGATCCAGCTATCTTCTATTTAGCTAGATGTTAAAGAGCTTTGCAAAAACATGTAAAAGATGATACATTTCTCTGAATTTGTTTGTTTGGAAAACCGTTTTTTTTTTTTTTCTTTAAACATGTTATTTATGCTAATATGTAATGGATCTATTATTGTTTTTATATAAATTAAATGCTTTTAAAATTTCTCAGCTTTGTAAGTTCTAATACAGTAAATACAGATAGATATAACCCACATAAACAAAAGCTCTTTGGGGGCTTTTATAATTTCTAGGAATAAAAAACGGTCCTGAAATCAAAAAGCTGCTCTACTCAATGATCTCTAACATTACTCACAGCTGTAGTTGTTCAAATAATCTCTTCTTTCCTAATTATTTTGTTGGAACAAGAGCTCAGTAAGGCTCAAGGATGGAGTTATCTCCCCCATCTCCAAAGAGTTCTTTTATGAGCCATTTATAAGTTTCCTGATAAAATGCTTTCATTTCTTTATTCAGTGTTTTCCATTTCATTGCTTCCCCTATATGCCCTGTTCCCTTGTCCTTCTTCAAACGTTGTTTTCTGAGAATTTCTTAATTTTGTTATTTACCTAGCAGATCAGTAAGGCGCTCTGGTGGCTAACTAGAAAGGTCAGTGGTTCAAACCCACCAGCTGCTCCGTGGCAATCTACTTTCGTAAAGATTTACAGCCTTGCAAACCCAATGGGGGTTGCTATAAGTGAAAATAAATTTGGTGGCAGTGAGTTTTGTTCTGAATTTTTAGTAGATAAGTAGCGAGTCAGGATAATACAGTAGGAAGAGCAATGGACACAGATTCAGAAGCAAACTGATATGTGGGATGGCCCTTGGGCTCAGCTTCCCTTCCATGACACTAGGAAGTTAAGATCTTATATGAAATCTCAATACACAAAACCAGTAAGTGAGATTTTTTTATTACCCTAAATTCATTAAAGTTCAAATTTATTACATTTATTTATCATAATGACAAGAACAAGGTGAAGCAATTTTGATTAACACAAACATTTAAAGTCAGGAGTCCAACTTATTTCTGTACTTGTACTTGTTTTTCATTGCTCTATTTGAAAACCTAATTCACTCAGAAAAGTAGTTCTAAGATAGACATTTTAAAATAGAGGTCTTGCAATCCCAGAGTAGTTTAATTTTAAGTAAACTTTTCTTTAAGGTTTATACAAAAACAAATCGACAGCATTTTTAAAGAATGAGTGTGCATCACTTTTGTTAAAATTTGATTCGTAAAATGTAAGATTGCATGTACTTAATTAAGTACACTTAAAAAAATTTAAAGACATTTAAAAGAACCTGTGTCACCCCCACTCCAAGACTCATTGAGAAAATGAGGCAGAGGCAATATAACAAAATTGCTAAGAGCCTAGGCTCTCTAATAAGAAGACTTGAAACTGAGCTCTGCTACTTCTTAGCTATATTGTGACCTTGGGTAAATTACTTGACCTGAGACAGTTTCCTCATCTTTAAAGTAAAATAGTACCTATCTCATAACCACTGTAAAGATTAAGTGAGAAAAACGCACACACACACACACACACAAACTTTGGATTTATTTTTTGTATAGCTATCGAAAAAAAAGAAAAGCACATTTCCCTGAGTCTGTGGAAAGTCTGTGTAACACAGCCCCATTCAACTCTAAAGAGCTTTTGGTGCTAAGATTCTCATACACTTTGACGACAGCAGGTGACTCATTCATTCACTTTATTATATACCACACACAGTTTTCAGGTTCTTGGGATACATCAGTGAAAACAAAGATCCCAATTCCTTGTAGAGCTTAAGTTTTAGTGGGAAGAGATAAACAAGAGAAAAAGTCATTTACATAGTATGGGGGAAAGTAATAAGCAATGAGGAAACAAACAGTAGAGTAGGGTAAGGTGGGAGTGGTGGGCTGAGTGAGTGGCAGTAATTGTAAATTTAAAATAGGGTAGCCAGAATAAGCCTTGCTAAGAAAGAGAGGACAGTGGCTTGCTCCAGAGTCCTACCAGGGGAAGTGGTAAGAAGTTTCTGACTCTGGATATACAGTAAAACCTATGAAAGCTGGAACCTGTGTAAAGTGGAAAGCTATCAGATAAGGAAAACTCAACATTCTCCTCTAAAACAAGCAATAGAAAAGTAGTAAGACTGCACTCTGTCCAAGGAGGAAAACTTGCAAGACCCAAAAAAACAAGGCAGTCTGGTTGAGTTCCAGCTCTCACAGGTTTCACTGCAATTAGAAGACAGAGCCAGTAAGAATTCCTGATAAGAGTATGACAGAAAAAGAAGAATCAAGGTTTAAGGTCTGAGCAACTCTGAAGATGAAGGTGCCATGAACTAAGATGGGGAAGGATGCAAGAAAAGCCAGTTTGGGGAAGAAGAACAGGTGTCCAGTGTTTGATAAATCTATAGATACTCAAAACCAAAAAACCCAAACTCACTGCTGTTGACTCAATTCCGACTCATAGCAACCACCACTGGGTTTCCAAGGCTGTAACTCTTTATGGAAGCAGACTGCCCAATCTTTCTCCTGTGGAGCAGCTGGTGGGTTTATGTCACTGACCTTCTGGTTAGCAGCCAAATTCCTTAACCACTATACCACCAGAGCTCCTTCTAGATACTCAAGTAGATGTCAAATAGATAGTTAGATAGGAACCTGGAGTTTAGGAAAGAGATCTAGCTAGAGATGTAAATCAGCATATAGATAATATTTGAAGCCGCAAAATTGGATAATTACCCCAAGTACAGAGAAGAAACAAAGTCCAAGGACTATGCTCTGGGGTAACACAACAGTAAAACCAGAAAAACCCAACTCACTGCTGTCGAGTCAAATCTGACTCACAGTGAGCCTTCCTTGGGATTCCGAGGCGGTACCACTATGGAAGGAGACTGCCCAATCTTCCTTCACAGGAGTGGCTGGTGGGTTTGAACCACCAGCCTTCTGGTTAGTAGTCAAATGTCTTAGGCACTATGCCACCAGAGCTCACTGTAAGAAGCTGGGGAAAACAGGAAAATTTAGCAGAGAGACTGAAACTGAATGGCTGATGAGGTGGGAGGAAAACCAAAGACCTTGATGAGAGCAGTTCTGGTGGAGTAATAGAGGCAAAAGCCTGAAAGGGGGGAAAAGGAATTGGAGATGCAGATTCTTTCAAGGAGATTTCTTATAAAAGGCAGGGGGAGGGAAGGAGAAAGGATATAGTAAATGGGAGAGGAAATGGGGTCACAAGTAGTTTTTTTTAAAAAGATGGGAGAAAATAACACCACGTTTGTATGCTAATGGGAGTGATGGAGTAGAGACTGAAAAATTAATGATTTAGAGAGGAAGGAGAGGATACTGGAGTGATAACTTTGAATGAACAAGAAGGTACTGTATCTAGTGCACAAGTGAAGAGTTGGCTTTATATAGAAGCATCCATGAACTACTGATGGTAGCAAGTGGGGAAATGCAAACTACTGGTTCAAATGCTGTAGGTAGATAGATGAGTAGTGGTGGTGGTAGTAGGGTCTGTGGCAGCTGTCTTTTGAATGTTTTTTCTTTCTTTTTTTTTTTTTAGGGCAATAGGAAGAAGTTTATAAAAAGAGAGTGTAGAAATGTTAGGAGCTTGAAGTGAGAGGAGAAGGTATGAGATGGTTGTCCAGGAAGGTGGGAAAATGAATGGCTTTGTATATATAATATGACTGGTCACACTAAGGGCCAAACCAGGCAGTATGGCTTTTATTTTACAAACACTTTAACAGCACTATGTGCCTGGACTCTTCCAATACTTTAGAAATATTAACTTATTTAAACCCAACCTCCAAAATGCACTGCAACAGAGTTGATTCCAACTCATGAAGCCCCCTACTGGGTCTCCAAGGCTGTAAATCTTTATGGAAGTGGAGCCTCATCTTCCTCCTGTGGAACAGGTGGTGAATTTTAAATGCCAACTTTTTGGTTAGCAGCCACATGCCTTACCCACTATGCCACCAGAGCTACTTTTTTATGCTTCATTAAAAAATATTTGAGACAGATAAATTATTATGTCTATTTCACAGATGAGGCACATAAGTTTGGTTCCACAGCAGAAGACAGATGGGGCAGTCTGCTTCAATAAAGATTTGCAGACTTGGAAAGCCAAAGGGGGTCACTATGAATTGGAATCAACTTGATGGCAGTGAGTTTGCTTTTACTATATATGTTGTTGTAGTTATTATTAGGTGCCATCGAGTCGACTTCAACTCATAGTGACCCTGTGTACAATAGAATGAAACACTGCTCAGTCCTGTGCCAGCCTCACAATCCTTGCTATACCTGAGCTCATGGTTGCAGCCACTGTGTCAATCTATCTCGTTGAGGGCCTTCCCATTTTTTGTTGACCCTCCACTTCATCCTCCTCCAGGGAATGGTCCTTTCTGACAACATGACCAAAGTAGGTGAAATGAAGTCTGGCCATTCTTGCTTCCAAAGAGCATTCTGGCTGCACTTCTTCCAAGACAGATTTGTTTGTTCTTTTAGCAGTCCATGGTATTTTCAGTATTCTTCACCAACACAACTCAAAAGCATCAACTCTTCTCCAGTCTTCCCTATTCATTGTCCAGCTCTCACATGAGTATGAGGTGATTAAAAATACTATGGCTTGGGTTAGGTGCACCTTAGTCTTTAAGGAGACATCTTTGCTCTTCAGCACTTGAAAGAGTTCTTTTGCAGCAGATTTGCCCGGTGCCGTACATCATCTAGTGTCTTGACTGCTGCTTCCATTGGTGTTGAGTATGGAACCAAGTAATATGAAATCTTTAACAACGTCAATCTTTTCTCCATTATTTGTGATACTACTTATTGGTCCAGTTGTAAGGATTCTCATTTTCTTTATGTTGAGATGAAATTCATACTGCAGACTGAAGTCTTTAATCTTCATCAGTAAGTGCTTCAAGTCATCCTCACTTTCAGTAAGCAAAGCTGTGTCATCTGTGTATTCCAGGTTGTTAATCAGTCTTCCTCCAATCCTGATCCCATGTTCTTCTTCATATAGTCCAGCTTTTTGGATTATCTGTTCAGCATACAGATTGAGTAAGTATGATGAAAGGATACGAACCTGATGCACTCCCTTCCTGATTTTAAACCATGCAGTTTAAAATAACAATTTTTAAACCCTTGTTCTGTTCAAACGACAGCTTCCTGGTCTGTGTGCACGTTCCTGATGAGCACAATCAAGTGTTTTGGAATTCCCATTCTTCTCAATGTTATCCATAACTTGTTATGATCCACACAATAGAGTGCTTTTGCATTGTCAATAAAACACAAGTAAACATCTTTCTAGTATTCTTTGCTTTCAGCCAAGATCTATCTGACATCAGCAATGATATCCCTCTTTCCACATCCTCTTCTGCATCCAGCTTGCATTTCTGGAATTTCTCTGTCAATATACTGGTGTAACTTCAGCAAGATTTTACTTGAGTGTGATATTAATGATATTGTTCGATAATTTCCTCCACATTCTGTGGGTACACACATACACATACACGTATATACATATGGTTGTAGTTGAGAATATACCAAGGCTTTGAAATGGTTCATTCTGGTTTGCCTCTGCTGAGATTTTGCCTTTCTATCCTAGACACACTTAATCAGAATTTACAGTATATTCTATAGAAATGGTAGATTCTGATTCAGTGTATCTGGGATGGAAAGGCAAATTCTCAACAGGGGCTGAACTGGTATGAATTAGTACAAAGTTCTGAGATATACAACATAAAACATAAACCATATCAACAGTTTTCACATGTACCATTTAATGACAATGATTACATTCTTCAGGTTCTGTAACCACTCTTACCTTTCTTTTCTAAGTTATTCTTCCCCTATTAAACTAAATTTACCATCCCTGAGTTTTCTATCTTTCAAGTTGCTATTGTCCATTTGATCTCACATAGATACTTCTTAAAAGTATAATGCTCTTAAGCATAATGCCCCAGGCAGACATTTGTATACTGCTAAACTATTAGTCGAAGTTATCATTTCAGAAAGTAGCATATGATGGTACTGAAGGAAGAAGTCCAAACTGCACTGAGGGTACTGCTGAAAAACAAGGTTCTAGGAATTGACAGAATACCCATTGAGATGTTTCAACCAACAGGCGCAGCACTGGAGGTGCTCACTCATCTATGCTGAGACATTTGTGAGAAAGCTACCTGGCCAACCAGGTACAAGAGATCCATATTTGTGCCCATTCCAAAGAAAGGCGATCCAACAAAATACAGAAATTATTGAACAATATCATTAATATCACATGCAAGTAACATTTTGCTGAAAATAATTCAAAAATGGTTGCAACATTACATTAACACGGAACTGACAGGAATTCAAGCTGGATTCAGAAAAGATATAGAAGTAGGGTATCATTGCTGATAACAGATGGATGTTGTCTGAAAGCAGCAACTACCAGAAGAATGTTTATCTGTGTTTTATTGACTACGCAAAGGCATTCAACTGTGAAATGTAACAAATTATGGATAACACTGAGAAGAATGGGAATTCTGGAATGCTTAATTGTGCTCATGAGGAACCTGTACATAGACCAAGAGGTAGTCATTTGAACAGAAAAAAAGGGATGGTGCATGGTTTAAAATAAAAAAATGTGCATCAGGGTGGTATCCTCTTTACCATACTCATTCAATCTGTATGCTGAGCAAATAATCTGAGGAGATGGACTATATGTTGAAGAACATGGCATAAGGAACGGAGAAAGACTCATTAACAACATGACATGCAGATGACACAACCTTGCTTGCTGAAAGTGAAGAGGACCTGAGGTACTTACTGATAAAGATTAAAGACTACAGCCTTCAGTATGGATTACAATTCAACATAAAGCAAACAAAAATCCTCACAACTGGACTAGTAAACAGTATCGTGACAAGTGGAGAAAAGACTGAAGTTGTCAAGGATTTCATTTTACCTGGATCCACAATTAATGCCCATGGAAGCAGGAGTCAAGAAATTAAATGATATATTTCATTGGGCAAATCTGCTGCAAAAGACCTCTTTAAAGTGTTAAAAAGCAAAGGTGTCACTTTGAAGACACAGGTTCGCCTAACTCAAGCCATGGTATTTTCAACAGCTTCATATGCATGCAAAAGCTAGATAATGAATACTTCGACCAAAGAAGAATTGATGTACTTGGATTGTGGTGTTGGTAAAGTATATTGCATGTACCACGGACTGCCAGAACACACACTTCTGTCTTGGAGGAA